CTCAATCCTAAACCCCTAAACCCCCCCTTTTCGGGGCCCCCAAGGCCGAAAGGCAGGCGATGCAGGCGATGCTTTGCGCGTCGCGGCCAGAGGCGCAGGTTCCGGGAGAACCGCCCGGGCAGCGTTCTGCGCCGAAGCCTGGTTTAGGGTTTAGGGGTTTTGGGGGTTGGGGGTTTAGGGGTTTAGGGTTTAGTAAGGGTTTAGGGTTTAGGGTGTAGGGATTTAGGGTTTAGGGGTTTAGGGTTTAGGGTTTATGGTTTAGGGGTGATCCATCGGAAAGGGAAGACAGAGGCATATGGGTGGTAGGGCCGGAGAAAGTCTCGGGTATTAGGTTTTAGGGGTTTAGGGGGTTTAGGGTTTAGGGAGTTTAGGGTTCTGTTTCAAGGCCAAGCAGCATGTGAAGATGGAGTCGGGCTTGTCTGCGCTGGAGAAGAAGCCCGGGAGGATTTGAATCTCCCCGCCGGAGCAGAGAGCTCCCTCCGTGCACTTCGTGCACTGGCCGTCGTGAAGAAAGAAGCCCTGTCTGCAGTGGCACAGATCCTCGGAGGATGCCCCCATCACGTCGATCCAGGTCTCGTCCCCAAAGAGCTGCGAGATGCGCCCTGTCGTCCATGGCCCGGAGCCGCAGGGAGTGCACTCGACCATCCTGGAGGCATTCGCGAAGCTTCCCACAGCACAGTCCACGCACTCCACGAGGCCGCTGGCCGCCGCGACTTTCCCAGGCTCGCAGCCCAGGCAGAGGGTCTCTCCAGCCTGGCCCTGATAGGTGCCGGGAGCGCAACTCTCGCAGGAGAAGGTCTGGCCCAGATTATCGACCATCAAGCTCGAGAAGGTCCCAGCTGGGCAGACTTTGCAGCTGGCCGCCAGGCTTCTAGAAGTCACCAGAGAGCCCTGAGCATCCACCAGCCCAAAGCCAGGGATGCAGCTGGTTTCGATGGGGAGCCACTGCTGCCATCGCTGCTGATTGGCCTTGGCCCATTCGCAGGCCACCTCCTGCATCCCATGGCTTTCTGCCTCCAGCAACAACGCCTCCATCTCCTCCAGCTCCTTGGACGCTTAGGGGCTTAAGGGCCTAGGCAGAAAAAGGCAGCCAGCTCGAAGCAAGCGCATGGATCGCTGAGAAGCCATGCGCTGCAGCTGAAAGTCCCCAAAATAGTGCGGCACCCGTATAAGGGTTTCGGGTTTAGGGCTCATGATGACTGTCGACATGAAACTCAACACCTCGGCACAAACCCGGCCTGACCTTCCCAGAGCGTCGAACTAGAGCACCCAACCCTTAAACCATACATGTATATGATATAGATCTAAAAAAACGCAGATATAGATGTAGGTAGGACTATGGATATGGAGATGTAAATATCTGCCTTACATGCATGAGCATACATAGATGCATGCATACGGACAGACAGGCAGACAGACAGACAGATAGGTAGATAGATAGGTAGGTAGATAGATAGGTAGATATATAGATAGATAGGATGATATAGAACGATCGGTAGGTAGGACGAGTAGATATCTACGTACGTCGGTACGTGCATACACATGCATGTGGCACAGATGAGGACTTGTCTAGCCCTAAACTCCTAAACCCTAAACCCTAAACCCTGAACCCTAAACCCTGTAAGTGGACTTCACAGTAACTCAGAGGCGACCGGGGCTCCATCTGCATCTTTTGGAGTAGTTTGTGGACTTTGGAGGCCTGGGAGTTGAAGCCGCGGCTGACCAGCTTGCCGATGTAGGTGCCAAGCCCTTCTGTCCGCTTGTTCCTCGGCCAAAAAAACCCTAACCGCCCAGGTACCTACTATATAGGGCCCTAGGGGCTCTAGTACCCTATATAGTAGGTACCTGGGAGGTTAGGGAAACCTATGCAGAAAGGATGGCTATGGCCGGCTACGCTACTTCGGTGCTTCCTTACCTTTCAAGAACGTACCCTCCGCTTTTGCTCGGAAGCCCGGGCTCCCCTGCGCCCACTCGCTGGCACGGTGCCGGGGAAATTTGATGGGCCGAGGGCTCCAAGGAGCAAGACTGGCATCCGGTCTGTACCTCGAAAGCCAGGCGGAGCCTACTTGGAAGTTTAGGGGTTAAGGGTTTAGGGGGGGTTCAGCTATCAAAATGGCCCTATGGGGGTGGCACCTGTTGTAAGTGTTGCGCGGGTGCTTCTGACCAACTCAGGAACCAGGGAGCGTAACGTTTCAAAGCCTACGTGGGAACCCTGGTGCGGGCTCGTCTGACGGAGGCCATGCTCTAGATCCCTGAGGTTGATCTTGTTCCGCGCTTCGGGATGATTCCTGATTGCCTCAGAAGGAGTGCACCTGATTGCGGGAGAATATTGACATGATGCCTGTAAGTTGTTAAGATGCCAAACCCATGGGGCAACGACAGCAACAGTGGGGCGGCCATGAGCATTTTTTTTGCAAAATTTTTTGCCTGGCATAGTACACTACAACATTACATAAAACAATATCAAAAACGTTGTAATGTAGTAGCAGAAAATGCTCATGCTCAGCAGGTTGGCAAAAGGGCATATCATGACATCCAACATACATGCCATGCACCCCGACCAGGGTTCATGTGACATGTCAGAGTGCGGCAGGGGGACCAGTATGCCAAGATCCGGAAATTTTGGAAGCTTGCCACCCATTCCGGAATGTCGCGGGCGATAGCGATCGCAGTTGGTAGCCTTGGTTTTGAACTAGGTCGCCAGTCAGAGTAGATTCGGGTGTGGGTTTTCGCTCAATCAACAGGAATCCCGCACGTGCTGAGAGTGCGCTTGCGATCTTCGCCGCTCACAAGCTTGGCCTCGGCATAAACTAGAAGCCCCAAAGGCAAAACACCCGAAAGTTCGGAGACCAGCCGGGTGAGAGAATGCCAAAACTAGACTGGGCACCCATAGGCCGTGGACCATGCCATGAAGGCATCCACCATCCAGCCCCACTGCGTAGAGATGATGGGTATGCCTTGGCAGCAATCTCGCCGGTAATGCTTTGGCTTTCGTCCGGAGACTAACACCAACTAGTGGACGTGCGAAAAAAGCTGTGTGTCGGAAAGCCCCTGATAATGTGTGCGATGCTGCGTGGGTAGGGCTTTAGTTAGGTGTTCATTGCCGTGCCTATCGGTGCCCGCGCCAAAGTCGGGGAAGCTCTCGGCTCGTCTCGGGCCTTCAGAGGTTGGAACTAAAGCAGCCAGGGGCGCACTCAGAGGTGTTGTGGCGACAAGCCGGAGCTATCCAGAAGCGGCCATCCGGGCAAGAGGCACGGTATCCTCAGATGCTCTTCAGGTTTAGGGTTTAGGGCAGAAAAAAGCTTCTCACCTTCTTCTGACCCTCTTGGCCCAAGAACTGCCTTGAAAGCTTCCGGAACCAAAAAACCCTGAACCAAGGCATTCCGAGGGTCCTCCATCTACTTCGACGAGACCGGCCAGGTCGCCTGGCAGCTCCCCAAAACACACCTCAAAAACACCTCCAAGAATGGTTAACTAAGATGCAAGGTTTAGGGTTTAGGACCTATTAGGGTTTAGGGTTTAGGGGTTTAGGGTTTAAGGCCTTGGAGCCCTTGTCGGAAGGAGGTACAGTCGCCAGGTGTGTGGGATGAGGCTTTGGCTTTTGCCTGGTTGGGGGCTTAGGGCGTTTTGGTCCTGGCCCCCCTACCCCGGCTCCCTCTTGCTCGCCCTAGAAAAGTGTACCGCTGAGGGTCGTTATGACTCTTGCCATCTGCATGCTTACATTTTTCGGCCTTAAACCCTTTCTGCTCTGGCCAGTAGCAGAGCAATCCCCGTGCTCTTGGGCCTCTCGGCAAAGCTATGATCGATGAGAAACTGCTCATCCGTGAACTAATCTTATCAAACATAAACACATAAATAAATATATGTATGTGCATATATATATATGTGTGTGTATATATATATATCCACATGTAAATCTGAGGTGCAGTACAGTCTTGTTCAAGATATGATCGCATATTACAGCCAAGTAAGTTTTGATCCCTTCTGCCTGACCAGCGGGCATAGTCAGCCATGTAAGAAGGATCTGTCCAAATGACTCCTGCTTCATCGCCTCAATGGTCGAAAGGATCCCTTCAACAGCAGCACGACTTACTTGAAGGCGAAGGGCTCTTTTTCCTAACGCCCGTTCCCTGTGCTAACGTTTGCTCTCCTTTCTTGTTGCAAGTGCCGTAAATTGCAGCCTGCGCTACAGCTCCAGGGCTTTATGTAATGTGCTGTTAGTTACAGCATTTCTGGCGGTTCACAAGCCCGGAAGGTTGCAAATAAATGCATGTTTTTCTATTCACAAGCTGCGATTGCTGTCACGTAGAATAATTATGTCCGATTCTTCAAAAGCTTTCAACCTTGTGCAAATGTTGTCAGCTACAGCATGTCAACTAAAGCATTTCAGCCGCTCGAGATGCAATAGATGACTGCATCTTTTGCTGTGCTCCGAATGCTGTCAATTCCATCATTTCCGATTCTTCCGAAGCTTCACACGCTGTGAACATGCTGCCAATTTCAGCATTTCTGCTGTTCTAAATGCTGTGAATTGAATTAAAGCATTTCTAACTGTTGACATGCTCGAACTGTTGTCGCAAGCTCCAAATGCTGTCAGTTGTAGCATTCCCAGAAGCGTCCAGAGCTGCGAACATGTTGTCAATTGCAGCATGCCTGGCTGTTCACAGGCTCGGATTGTTGTAGATCATTGCGCTTTTGGCTAGTCAGCTCCAAACGCTGTCAATTTCAACATGTCCGATTCTTCAGCGAAGTGAAACAAAATGGTTGTCAAATACAACATTTCCACTCGTTCAAAGGCTCGGACTGTTGTAAAGTACTGCGTTTTTGGCCATTCACAAGCTACAGGTGCTGTCAACTACAAGATTCCGAGTCTTCAGAAGCTTCCAACGCTGTGCTGTCAAATACAGCATTTCCGCTGCTCCAAATGCTACTAATTACAGAATTCTGGCTGTTCAGAAACTCGGAAATGTAGATTTACAAGCTCCAAATGCTGTCAATTCCTGCATTTCCGATTCTTCACGACTTTTTCGCTAGTATTCACATGCGTGAAACCAATGCTGTAAAGTTGCGGCATGTCGACATTTGACCAGCAAGCTGCAGCAAGCTCTACATGTCGTTTTTGATTCGGAAAAGCAAAAATCGCATGCTGGGCTTTTGGAATGAATGTACACTGATGACACAATGTTGATCGAGACAAGCTTACACGGCTCTAAACAAAGCGGTGGTTGTTTGGAAAAGGTTCACGGCTCGTGAATTGATGTTCAGGAAATGAATCATCAACAACTGTCTGGTTCTTAGTAGGGAATGGGGGAATGGATCCCTATGATAGTCCCTTAAGGTCCCCTATAGTAGTCCCAATAACCCATTCCCCCATTCCCTACTAAGAACCAGACAGACAAATTCCAGGCCAGGTTGCACTGGAACAGATCCTGGGCCGGCAAGTCGCTCAACTGGTCGAAGTGCCTCGTCTCGTCACAATTTCCATAGACGAGGGAGGGTTCCTACGGTTGATGATCTAAATCTTGCATTACCCATAATAGGGAAAATTCCATGATTCCCATAGTTTAGGGTGCTCAAGGTAATAAGGATTTATATCATCAACAGTATCGGCAGAAGGGGTGGCTGCAAGGCGAGATGCCGCACTGCACGGTAGTGAGACGTGTTGTACGAGCGGTAGAAGTCCAGCGAAAAACCAGAAACCTCGTAGGCTTCGTCTAGGAGCTTCCCGGTGATGCACAGAGCTTCTTCACCTGCAAAAAAACAAAAAAAAAGAACGGACGGATCCCCCTAAAAAAGACCTCCAAGACTCCTGAGAGCAGAGGGCTCCAGAGGGCCTCCCATAATGAGAATACTACAAATAATGACAGTAACCATAATATTATCATTATTGTCCTTTTTTGTTGCTATTGTTATTCTTTATTCTTCCTCTCTAACATGAAGCGACGCTCTGCCTGCATAGCCTATGGAGCCAAGATCTTCGGGAGCAATTGTCGGATGACGCTTCATGAAAAGCTCCACATCAGCGCCAGCTGAGCCCAACCAGACATCAAGAGCCACATGCGTGTCGCTCATCTGCGTCTGGTTGCAGTCCATGTCTGAGCATCCAGCCAAACTCTGTACGACTTCTATATTCGCTATCGGACGGGTATCGTCGAAGACAGCGTGATATCCGAGCACCTCTTCTATCAGGAGCTTGGCTATCGTGGACAAGAGCTCGGCTGCGGCCCAATTGAACACCATCAGTTTAACTGGCACGTTCTCGGCTGCGCCATTTAAAATGTACGTACGCTGACTGGACGGGATGCCCTGCAGCAAGCAGAGCTCCCCGCTGCATCCTGTAACCAGGAAGAGAAGTCGCCATGGCCATGTTGTCATGTCTGGAGGGGGTCCTACAATCATGCTGGTCCTTTTGGAGTTCGACTTTTTCCTCATCTTCGTGATTAAGTGACGTGAGATTCTCTGCACATCTCGATCCCTGGCCCAGCAGCATTGATGCAGCGCAGCGGCCAAGCCAACATGATATGATCCTGACATGTCCACAAGCAAACCCAACAGTCATGACTGTATGATACTTGTTGACGACAGGCTTGTTTTTGCGATGAAGAGGTGTTGGCACCTGGAACTCTACTGCCCCGCTTACGACTTCAGTACCCCTCCACCTTTCAAACGATATCCAATGAGTGTCATCTCGTGCTGACAGCTGACAGGCTTAATCTGTCAGCCCTATCGCACTGATACGCAAGGTACGGAGTCAATCCGGCACCTCATCCCTGCTCGTTCTGGCGGCCCGTCTCCCTGTCCGAGCTGGCCAGCCCACATTCTTCGAGTTTTACGGGAAGAGCTCTGCAGCTCATGTTGCTCAATCCAGAGATCACACGCAACTCCCGCGACGACAGTGTGAGCACCGAGAAAACACAGCATATATCCTGCGTCAAGCTCATGAAGCTGGAATTTGCACGTCTGTGTGGGTGCACTTGAGCTGTAGCTCGCGATTAAGTTTCTAGTCAGGAGCATGAGGCTCGGTTCCCTGGCCTTCTTCATATACAACGGCTTGCTCCCCAAGTTAGCTATGAAGTGCCCTCTTCGTTAACAAAGATGTGTCAGTGAGTGATGTCGAACCCGACATGAGATACCTCCAGAGAGTTGATGCCCGAAGGGGGTAAGGTTCCAGTCGGGGTCTAAGCTTTCTTTTCCGTGCTTCGCGCGATATCCTAAATTTGCGAGGCTGCCTGAGCGGAAGTAAGGACGCGCATGCTAGGCACCAGGGCTCTTCCATTGATGTTGGAACTCAACAAGACCTCTCCCGGGCTGTGAGATGTCCCTTGAGTATCTAAAAGCCGCCTTCGTACACCCGGAGCCAACACCACGGCTTGTTTTTCGATACTGGGCTGTCCAACGCTGGGAAAGCTGCTAGACCTGCAGACGACCGGTGAAACGTAAATGCAGAATCCTGAGGGTTACGAGTCCTCCGACGAACCCTCACACAAATACGAAAACTCCACCGATCACTTTCCCAATTAACGCCACTCTTTCACGGCTCCATCTCCTGAGTGCCACGAGACTCCCTGCTCTGCTCATCGAAGCTAGCAGCAGCTGGCAGCTAGCAAGACTCTCCCTCCCTGCCCTCCTAAAGCCCCCCAACCCCCGCCTGGCACTGCTCCATCGATCGGCCCAAGGTCGTGAAATCATCGGCAGGGCAATGGTGATGTCCGTGGTTACCGTCGCTCTGGAAGACCATGAGGGTCTTGCCGGTCCCAGCGTGTGCCACGGAGAAGTGCTTGCCATCTACGTCCCCGAGGCGGAAGTTACCAATCTGGATGAAGCGGTCACCAAAGCTGACTCCCATGGGTGACATCTCGGGATTCCGGGACGGCCATGTCTTCCCCCACAGGCCCCAATCCCAGCGAGCCCCCTCATGCACGGGATGTGGATCATTGGCGCTGTCGGATCGATAGATCACCAGGGTCTTTCCGTTTGAATGGGAGATGCTGAAATGCTTCCCATCCACATCACCAAGGCGGAACTTCCCAATCTGGACGACGCGATCTCCGAAGTGAACCCTCCTTGGCCGCAGAAAAAATCTACAATGGGCCAACAAGAGGCTAAACCATGAATCCTGATTCCTGAACCAGACATGATCTTTTTGCTGAATTTTTTGGCGCAACTTAATTCACAGCTTCTCCACAGAGTGTGCGTGATCTGTTCTGAACATATCTCGGAACTGCATGTGGGAACTTGTAAGACATAGACCCACGCACCCTGGCTTTGGATTGGAAGCTGACCCTAAACAACTTCTATAAACCCTAAACCCTAAAACCCTAAACCCAAAATCCCGAAATCCCTAAACCCTAAACCCTAAAACCCTAAAGCCCTTTAAAACCCTAAACTCCTAAACCCTACACCAGCTGGGAGTCAAATTCCCGTCCGGGGCCAAGGGTTGACGGCCCCAAACGCCATTGGGAGCCGCCTGGGCAAGGCTTTGAGCACCCCTTTTTACGGGTTTAGGGTTGAGGGGTTTAGGGTTTTGGGTTGAGGGTTTAGGGTTGAGGGCCTAGGGTTGAGGGTTTAGGGTTGAGGGTTGGGTTTAGGGTTGAGGGTTGAGGGTTTAGGGTTGAGGGTTTAGGGCTTAGGGTTGAGGGTTTAGGGCTGACGGTTGAGGGTTTAGGGCTTAGGTTGAGGGTTGAGGGTTTAGGGGCTCCGCAGAAAGCTTTGAAAGGAACCTTTCCAGTATTTACGGCACCAGGCATGGCAAAGCACGTCTAAACTGACAGAATGAGAACGTCTATTGACTGACATCCTCGTACCTGGTGGCGCCGAGTCGCGTGGGGTCGTGACGGGAAAGCCTTGTTGCTACTGCTTTCTTTTTTTTCTTTTTTACCTGGCGTCTTGATCCTGTCCTTCTTCTTTCTAGCCTTGCTTCGTAGCTTTGCTTCGTCCTTTTTCGGGTTGAAGCAGGGTGCCCCCAAACCGCAAAAATCAGACGAGCTCCTTCCGTTTGCCACTGCTCAGTTTGCTGCAGCTTCCTTTGGAGGCAGACCCAGCACCGAAACAGGTACTAGATGGCTTGGGTCTCCTAGAAAAAATCAAAGCAAGAACCTCATAGACAAAGGCTTGCCTTCACTAAAAGGTTCAACGTTACCTGCTGAGCCCCCAAGCCTCTGCAGGGCCTGCTGCAGCGATCTGGGCCTCAGGCCCTGAGTCGTGAAGATTTGGAATTTGGACAACCCCAAAGCCAAAGCCCAGCTTTTGAACCCTACCCCCCCCCCCCCGAAGGCCTTGCAGACAGGACCGCCCGACAAAACGCCATGAGAAACGATTCTCGCTGCAGAGCCTGGGTTGGGAGGCCCTGGGTTTGGGCTTTGGGGTTTCGGGGTAGCTCTCATTGGTGTAGGGTTTGGGGCCCAGTTTGGGGCTTGGGGTTTAGGGTTCGGGGCCCAGTTTGGGTTGAGGGTTTAGTGCATGGGGCCCCAGTTTGGGGTTGAGGTTTCAAGTGTTTGCGTTGGAATGCAAGGTTTTCAACTCAAGGTCGTATCTTGTGCAGATGGGACTCGGGCCTGGTGTGGCAATATTTGCAGCACCTTGCAGAAGCAGCAGGAGGAGCACCGGGAGTAGGAGTAGTAGTAGTCGTCGTCGTCGTCGTCGTAGTCGTAGTGGTAGTAGTAGTAGTAGTAGTAGTAATAATAATAATGATAATCATAGTAGTAGTAGTAGTAGT